GACAAGAATGGTAGAGGCATAGTCCTAGAGAAAACAAAATAAGATGAGGAAAGAAGCTCGTACTGGTAACTTGCTGTCTGGTACTTCTTTGGAAGCTTCTGTGGTTGTTTTTCTATATAAAGGCTTCAAAGCACCTTTTAGCCTTATAGAAGAGATCGAACAGATGTGACTTGCAGTGTTTCATAACCCCTGGAGAAACATCAGCGCAGAATTTTAATCAAAACATTCCCGATTGCGTCAGTGATCATTGCAAAGAACGATGATTTCGATTTTTAATGTTTTCACGCTTCCAAGACAAGTTCTCTCCTCCCCCCCCCCCCTCCCCACCTGAGCTGTGATACTTTCTACAAAGAGCTGGTGGATTAATCCACTTCTAGGCGCAGGATAGAAGTATTCAAAAGGTGAAATATATGCTGTTCTAGCTGCCCGAGAATTCGCGAAAAGGGCGCTGAGGGTTCGTCATCATCCGCGTCGTCGCTTCTCTTGCTCAGGGTTCCACTGTTCAAGCATACGTTGTCTGCACTCTCGCTCGTCTGCTATACTGTCTCTTGTTCCTAGTCTGCTCTCTCTCCTTAGGGCACAGCGCATTGACTTGGATGAGATGACTGTCTGTCTAAGACTGTCGCGTGAACACCTGCATCAAGAAGATCCTTACTTTCAGTGTTTTCGGCGCTTCCTTTTCCTTTTTCTCACTGACGGTCCTTTTTATTAGGTTGGAAGGAAAGTTCTGAAACACTCAATTCGCGCTCTTTCTGGATTTCTCCCGAATGCTCTGGAATCTTCCATGGGTGGTATATAGTAGGAGTGGACCGTGCTACGTACGGTGATCAAATCAGCTTTCCCAATAATGGCGTTTGCATGGCACTAAATCAACTTTTCCCGCCAGACACTCCGAGCGCTCATTCTGTAAGAGCTCCGCCTAGAGAGATCTGCCCACCAGAGGTGGTCAGAATCAGTCCCGGGATAGGCCTGGGCACGTTCTCTCGCATGGCGGTTTCGGCTTGGTTCAAACGCTCCGCAG